TTTTTTTTGGCTGTCAACTAGGGGCCTCTTGGAGGCCATCTGCCATTCACTGCCACATGTCTCTATCCAAGACATGGCAGCTGCCCTGTCCCTGATCTCTAGACCCAGATTTAAGTGGCTTGTGTGATGAGGTTGGGGCTGCTCAGACAATGTCCTTGACTAACCCCAAATCAAATCCTAGAATATTAATTATACCCTTAAAAGTCCTTTTGCCAAACAGCATAATTCTGGGAGTGATATTTGGTGATTTCACTAGTTTCACTCAAAACCCATTTTCACAAAATGGGTGAAGGGTTTTAATAGTATACTATATTTTATATATTATAATGTTTTACGTATTTATGATTATGTTTATATATTATAATGTTATATTAATATTATTATTTATTAATATATATTATATTTTGTTAAGTTTTTTTAAATATATGCATCAGGTTAAGTTGGTTAATAGCTTTCAAGTCTTTTATTTTCTTCTTGATTTTCTGTCTAGTTTTTCTATCAGTGATTGAGGATAAAATATTGAAACCCAATATTGCTGAATTCTCCTTTCAATTCTATCAGTTTTGCTTCCTATATTTGGGGACACATTTATTTACTCTTGTTTCTTCCTGCTCTGTTGTCCCTTTTATCATTACAAAATACCCCTCTTTCTCTCTAATAATGTTTCATATTAAGTATATTTTATTTCACATGAACATAGCCCCTCCAGCACCCTTATGGTTATGGTTTGTATCTTTTTGAAGAAGCAAATAATAAGTAATTTCTAGAGGCACATTGTCCCCACCTCACTAATGACATGGGCAGACAAGTTTGCGGGTATGATTTCGTGCTGTCAGATTAGCTGCCTACAGGGAAATTCTCCAGGGATACGGAATACTGGCCTGCCTTTTCTATTTGGGGGGAAAATTTTTCTCTTTATCACAACTGGGTGTCAGTAGAGTCTCGTGTGGCAGAGGCTCTGAAAAGCCATTACTTCTAAAACCTTCCCTTGTATTCACTCCATCTGTATCTTTGGGGTAAATACCCAGTAGTGCAATGGCAGGGTCATAGGGAAGCTCTATTTTTAATTTCTTGAGGAATCTCCACACTGTTCTCCAAAGTGGCTGCACCAACTTGCATTCCCACCAACAGTGTAAGAGGGTTCCCCTTTCTCCACATCCCCTCCAACACATGTTGTTTCCTGTCTTGCTAATTTTGGCCATTCTAACTGGTGTGAGGTGGTATCTCAATGTGGTTTTAATTTGAATCTCCCTGATGGCTAGTGATGATGAACATTTTTTCATGTGTCTGATAGCCATTTGTATGTCTTCATTGGAGAAGTGTCTGTTCATATCTTCTGCCCATTTTTTGATATGATTATCTGTTTTGTGTGTGTTGAGTTTGAGGAGTTCTTTATAGATCCTGGATATCAGCCTTTTGTCTGTACTGTCATTTGCAAATATCTTCTCCCATTCCGTGGGTTGCCTCTTTGTTTTGTTGACTGTTTCTTTTGCTGTGCGGAAGCTTTTGATTTTGATGAAGTCCCAAAAGTTCATTTTCACTTTTGTTTCCTTTGCCTTTGGAGACATATCTTGAAAGAAGTTGCTGTGACTGATATCGAAGAGGTTACTGCCTATGTTCTCCTCTAGGATTCTGATGGATTCCTGTCTCACATTGAGGTCTTTTATCCATTTTGAGTTTATCTTTGTGTACGGTGTAAGAGAATGGTTGAGTTTCATTCTTCTGCATATAGCTGTCCAGTTTCCCCAGCACCATTTATTGAAGAGCCTGTCTTTTTTCCACTGTATATTTTTTCCTGTTTTGTCGAAGATTATTTGCCCATAGAGTTGAGGGTCCATATCTGGGCTCTCTACTCTGTAGCAAAGGGAAGAGAAAATAAATTACTGTGGCCTAAGATTCCCTATTTAGAGGTATACAGACACTCTTGAAGAAATGAAGGGTTTTATGACATTGATCAGTTTCCAAATTAGAGGTGGATTGAGATTAAAATTGATTAGAGGATCAGAGTGGTGTAGGGGAGTTAGGGGAGGGGTGGAAGAAAATAGAAAATAAAACTCAAGTTAACTGAGCATCTTCTATGTACTAGATAGATATAATGGTAAGCACTTCACACACATGTTTTCAATACATCTTCATATCTCAATGTAGATGGCAGTCTCATTGCACTCATGCTAGAGGGGCATGGGTGCTTAGCCGTTATGTTGAACCTATGGTGAGAACTGACTTTGATGGTTGCCTAAAGGGTTGGCTACGTTTTCTGAGAAAGGAGTCAAAGCTAGGAGTGTAAGGGCTTATTTAGCCAGAGCAATTCCATCCGGTTAAACAGTGATTTTGATGTTTATGCAGTAAAACTTAAACTGACCCTGCCCTCTGCCCCCCAGGGGACTTACTTAAAAGCAAGTCCGGGAAACCAGTCCCAGGTAACAAAGCCCAAATACAAGGGCGGGTCAGGCCAGGTGGAGATATCCAATCAGTGGGGCACGCATACTATCTCCCTAGCTACCAAAGAGTGTGGGCCCCGCCTTTTGGGCCCTTTGGGTGCCAATTCTGACCAAGGTGATAGGCTAGTTCAAATATCTACTATAGAGTAAATTGTGATTCAATTGGTCACCTGTGTGTGACCTAGCATGACTATGCAGCTTTCTCTGTGTGTTGCAATCTCATTGGGCACCTGTGTGTGGCCGGGCCCAACCACATGGCCTTTGCCCTTTAAAAGTTAGTCTGTAAGGCAGGGAGGGGTTGCCCTCTCTGTAAGAGGCAGCCCCGAATGGTCGGTTTGATTCTCGATGCTTGGCGAGAAATAAAAGCTTTGCTTGACTTTCGCTTTGTATCAGTCTCACTCCTTCGATTATGGACCTAACAGGAGAGACCCAGGAGGAGCTCCAGCACTAGAATGATGGAAGTGGTGGGGTGGCGAGATGAGGGTACGGTGGAGTCAACTGTGTGTGGAAGGACAGTGGCCCCATGTGTTTAACAGCCCCACTTCGAGTGTCCACTGGGGTGTTCTCAAAAGAAGGAATCATTCTCTCTTTCTCTCTCTCTCTCTCTGTCTCTCTGTCTCTCTCACACACACACGCACATTTATCCCCTACATTCTTTCAGGCAGAGAAGAGGGTTCTTTATTCTGTGCTTAAATAGCTCGTAGTGCCCTGAATGGTGCTTCTCTACCTTTACAAGTCATCTATTTCCCCAGTTGATTATGAATTCCCTGAAGCCAAGCCAACATTCCATGTTATTCATCTTTGTAAGCCTGGCATCCAGCATAGTGTCGGGTAACCCCAAAGTCCCCATAAATGTTTGATATCCATAATAAGCAAATAAAGAAGAGGAATGGTGTAGAAATGTGTGCATAGGGAAGGAGGGCAGAAGAAAGGGAGATGATAATGAGGAGAGAGTTTGAAGAAAGAGCTGAAAGCTCCAACATCTTACTCTCAGAATGAAAAACAGAATGGGGAAACTGAGCTTCAGATCTGACACAGTGGGTATGACCCTGACATAGTGGGTCAGGGCTGGGAAAACATGAGAAAATCTTTCAAAGAAATGGGGCTTGTATAAAATTAGGAGAAATCTTTCAACACCAGCATGTGAGCATGTGTGTGTAGGCTTAACATTTATGCTCGAACCATTGTTCTTTCTTATTTTGAAATCAAGAAAAATATGAACTGGCTATTTCTTCATAAATATTCTAGTTAGCCTTTGTTTGCTTGTTTTGTTTGAGTAGCTAGTGAGGGATAAGGGAGTTCAAGTTTAGGTTTATATCTATCACTGTTGACTTACTCAGTATTTAAAAGGAAAAGTAAAAAAAAAAAATGAGTTTCCAAAAATATGTAATGATGATTTTGTGATATTTGTAATAAGAAATACATATATTTAGCCTTCCTTCCAGTTCCTGGAACAAATCTGTGGAATTTCCTAAGTGATAGAGCAGTAAAGATGTATTTTTTTTATGTTAATGAGTTGACTTTGGGAAAGACCTCAGAGAACATAAGGTTGGGTTGCAGAGCCCTCCGAGCAGAGGAACCAACCTTACAATTAGAGGATTATAACTTTAAGTCCACCTACCCCCCACCCTCGACATCTAGAAAGGGAAGAGGGGCTAAAATTTGAGTTTAATCACCAGGGGCTGATGATTTGATCAATCATATGTATGTAACAAAGTCTTGATAAACCACCGAAAGGATAGGATTGGGATAGCTTCTTGGTAAACCCAGGGAGATTCAGGGACAGTGGTGCTCCACACCCCTTCCCATTCCTTGCCCTCTGTTTCTCTTCCATATGGCTATTCTAGAGTTATATCCTCTTATACTAAACTGGTAATCCAGTAAGTGAAATGTTTCTCTGAGTTCTGTGAGCCACTCTGGCAAATTAATTGAGCCAAGGAGGGGGTCTTGAGAACTTCCATCTGTAGCCACTGAGCCCTTAACCTGTGTGGTGTTTGATGCTATCTCCAGGTAGATAGATAGTGTGAGGATTGAGTTAATGGCTTGGTGGTGTTGAAAAAACTCACATCATAGAAATTGAATAAAGATTTTATTTTGAAGCTAGTTACTCACATAGCTCCTGAGACTTGATTGTGGGGGGCTTGTCTGCAGGCTATAACGAGGATAATCATGTGATGCAACACTAGTGTCTACCATGAAAGAGTCTGAACACCACCATTACTCGGTGAACTCCCATTGACAATTAAGGAGGACAAGAAGGAGTTGTCTCCTTTACTTCACCATGACCCCGAATCACAGTTCTGTCTAGTTTCTTGGGAAATGTCTGTTTGGCAGTCTAGGCAATGGTAATTTACACATTTACACTTTGCCTAATGGCAAATGAAGAGACCCGCATTGAACACATATATTCAATAACAAGAAAACAAAGATATATATTTTCAGTGTTCATTATAAAAAAGCCTACATTTCAGAGAATTCAAAATTTGCTTTCTTGAGTTGAGTTTCTTTGGTTGGTTTTTATATAGCATCATAAAACCAAATTCCTGATGAATATTTCTCCTAAGAAGTCAATAGTTCTTCGTATCCAGGGTCAGAAGATGCCTTTAAGGGTTTTGCCAAGGGTTTATTCTTGTAACTCTGAGGCAAGAAAAGCACACTCTAAAAGAAACAAAATATGTTAGTTCTTTATATTAGTTCTTCAGACTTCACTCAGGTTCAGCTTCATATATATACATACACATATAATAGATATATATTATGTATATATACTTATATCTACATTTATATCTAGATATAAATATCAATGTCACTTCCTCCATCTTTGTGTGTGTGTGTGTGTGTGTGTGTGTATACATATATATTACAAGATGAATATAGTATGTCATTAAGTTCTTTAAATAAGTGTGGCTCAATAGTCATTCTGCTTTCTGTAATACAATCTGGATAAATTAATGCTTTTTATTTCAGTGAAATGAAGCCACAAGTCCATGGTGGTGGTAGAGTGCTGTCCCATGGAATTTGAAACAACTATTTTTTTGAAAGTATCTTTTAAGTGAGAAAAGAATTTTAACATCACAGGAAGGGGGCAACCCATGGAATGGGAGAAGATATTTGCAAATGAAAGTACAGACAAAGGGCTGATATCCAAGATCTATAAAGAACTCCTCAAACTCAACACACACAAAACAGAAAATCACGTCAAAAAATGGGCAGAAGACATGAACAGACACTTCTCCAAAGAAGACATACAAACGGCGAACAGACACATGAAAAAATGTTCATCATCATTAGCCATCAGGGTAAGTCAAGTCAAAACCACATTGAGATACCAGTTAGAATGGCCAAAATTAACAAGACAGGAAACAACAAGTGTTGGAGAGGATGTGGAGAAAGGGGAACCCTCTTACACTGTTGGTGGGAATGCAAGTTGGTGCAGCCACTTTGGAAAAAAGTGTGGAGATTCCTTAAGAAATTTAAAATAGAGCTACCTTATGGCCCTGCAATTGCACTATTGGGTATTTACCCCAAAAGATACAGATGTAGTAAAAAGAAGAGCCATCTGTACCCCAATGTTCATAGCAGCAATGACCACGGTCACCAAACTGAGGAAAGAACCAAGGTGCCCTTCAATGGACAAATTAATAAAGAAGATATGGTCCATATATACAATGGAGTATTATGCCTCCATCAGAAAGGATGAATACCCAACTTTTGTATCAACATGGATGGGACTGGAAGAGATTATGCTGAGTGAAATAGGTCAAGCAGAGAGAATCAATTATCATATGGTTTCGCTTATTTGTGGAGAATAAGGAATAACATGGAGGACACTGGGAGATGGAGAGGAGAGCTGAATTGGGGAAAATTGGAGGGGGAGATGAACCATGAGAGACTGTGGACTCTAAGAAACAAACTGAGGGTTTTGGAGGGGAAGAGGTTGGGGGGTTGTGTGAGCCTAGTGGTTAAGGAAGGCATGTGTTGCATGGAGCACTGGGTATGGTGCATAAAGAATGAATTCTGGAACACTGAAAATGAATAAAATTAAATTAAATTTTTAAAAAAATCACAGGAAGGGAAACCAGAGCATAAGGACATGTAGCAAATACAGTCATGTATGCAAATGCCCTTGATCAAGTCAAGGCTGTTAGAGAGACAAGGTCTATGGTAGAAAGTGTTCCTGTCTGATAAAGACACAAACCAGGTCTGGGGACCTGAGTACAAACTCATACACAATGCTGAGCAAGTCATTTAATTTCCAGGTTTCTGCATCTATAAAACAGAAAGCTTGAACCAGTCAATTTTTCAGGCTCAACCATACCATTTGGTTCACCCTTAGCCAGTCAGTTACTCAATTGCCATCTGCATTACTCCTCAGTCTTCCACCCCCATCAAGCCATCTCTCATGTGTATCTTGTAACAGGCAACTGCTGACCCTTCTGCAACTCTTGCTGACATTGCTCAACACAACCCAGAACTGGAGATACACCTGGCAGGACTCAGGGAGGCTGGCCAGCACACTCACCCCAGTGAAGTTGGAGTGAGCCTTTTTCCACCAAACCAGAGCAGCGAGCACGGCCAGGCAGAACTCCAGTGCCGTGCAAATTAGCATCACAGACAGAGTTCCCTGAAATTCAGGAAATACAAGGTTGGTGGTGCTTAAGTCAACTGACACCTTCATGCCTTGTTCAGTGTTGACCATAGAGGTGAAGACTGCCTCAACCCTCAGAAGATGAAGGCAGAACATCTTCAGCAAGAGAACAATGCTCCTTCCTAGCCTAGTGATTGGCTTTCATTTAATCCCTTCATTTATTTATTCCCTTGAGAGGCAGATGAGCAGAACTACATCAGCTACACATAACCCACTTTGTGCATTGTTTCTTATCCCACTGAGAAATAGTGTGTGAACCTGAAGTCTCCACATTTATCAAATGTGCACAATGATATTTCCTTCTCAGAGATACCTGAGAACAATGAGGTTTTGACCTCATTGGTGCAAACCCTTTGTAAAATTCAACATTTTGAATGGGCTGGATGGGCTTCCTTAGCCTTTCTTAATGTTGGTAAGAGAAAGAAAAACCAAGGCAATAAATGTAGCATAAACAGAGCGGCCTCCATTGCTAACAACCTACACCAACTCAAAAAAGATACTATGCCAAGAGACCAGGTTCTACCATTTCTGTCCTGAGGCATCCTTCATGCAGACCTGGCAACCTGATAGCACAGGAGAGAAAATGTGATTGCATATACCTCTAGCCTATTTATGTACAGTTCAAGAGGAAGTACAACTTGTTTACATTAATTAGAAACTGTCCCAGCAAGCAGGTGCAGTATAATCCCTTTATTTATAAAGCAAAATTATCCCTCATGAATTCATATTTTATCCATTCCACAAATCCCTCCCAAACTTCTCTCCAGAATTTTTCCCAAGGTGGGGCTGCCTACTCCATGTGTTGTTTTATGCCAATTGCTATCAACCTCATTTGCATGTACCTTTTCTCATTGTAATATCATGAACCTGGAGAGAAGCGCCTGGGGCCAGGTCCACAAGGAGTGGTGCGCAATTGTGTGCTTGACCAGCTCTGTTAGCATCTGGCCATCCTCCAACTGTGCCTTGATGTAACTCACTTTTGTGATTGTGGGACAACAGATAGGCAGCAACCTCTTTACTCGTATGTTGCCTGGGTCTTTCTCAGTGTTTTCTGACCATACACATACTCTTTAATGCTCCAACTGAAGACATTATTTCTATTAGCCAAACTTAATTCTTTTGTTTTTTCCAATAATGACAATCATAGTCAGTTCCCGTTCTCTACCTTCCTACATCCTTATTTCCCAATTTAATAAATCCCACCCCTATAAGTTATCACAAACAACAGTGATATATTCTCCCCTGATCAGTCCTGTTCATCACTGTGGTCCCCGGAAGGAGGGGAGCCTCATCTCTGAAGCCACAGTTCCTACTCTTTGCTTCCCAGTGCTGGGCTGAGTTAGCCCAGCACTGAGTTCACTCAGACTGAGTTAAAGCCCAGCACACATACTTTCCATGCTTTTTGACCACTTAGGTCTTCCTGGTGTCTTTGCCTTTCTTAATTCACCATTCTATGTGCCAAGATTTTTGGTTGGACAAACTCCTATTTTATACCTCTAACAACAGAATTACTTTATTAAGAAACTCTATCAACAGTAAGTTTTCATTCTTCATCATCAACTTGATTTGACATTTACTCTTCCATTCCCTATCACTGGTATGTAACCCTAGAGCCTAACCCCTTTATCTCAGCCAAGCGGTCCCCTCCCATTCACATAGCCCCAGCCTTCCCCCACATGCCCAAACCAGAAAGAATTAGATCCTTACAAGAAGGGATAACAAAAATCAAGGATTTCAGAAATCTCATAAGATTGGGAAACCAGTCTAAAAATACTTACAGCCAGAGTAGTTTTGGCCATGAAACATTCATTCTTAATATATGGGTGCATATAATGGTAAAAGTAATCCCCTATAGGTGCTTTGTCCTCTTTGTTCAATTCACACTTCCAAAAGGCAGGATCCAAAGCAGCCAGGTTGACCGAGAGGAGAATAAAACCCATAAGAGCAAACAGAGAACCCAGAATGTTTGCAGCCACGCTGCTCTGAGCCTGAAAGACAAAGGCTGAGTAAGAATCACCGTCAATGACCAACACGTGCCTCTTATCCCTCTTTGCCAATGCACTGCAAAATTTTGTTTCTTATTTTTGTCCCTGGGGGGTTCTAGCATCGGTAGACTTAAACCAGGAGGCATCTTCCCTAGTACTCAGCAACATCTCTGAATCTAGCAGGTAAATCTTGGCTAAGTGAATGAATGTATGAAATGTTTCTCCCTAGGCAGGACTTGAGTAGGTGGCAGAGAATATTGCTCTTCTAAATTCTTTATTTGGGACTGAAAGCAGGGCTCCATGGGGCCGTGCCTGCAGAATCCCCAAAAGAGTATGACCAAAGGCAGATATGATTTCTCTCTCCCCCGACTCATTCAGAAACCTCTCAAGGAAGCCGTCAACCACACAAAAGAGGCAGATGAAGCAAGCTATTCTTCCTAGCATATGACTCTCTTAAATGCACACATATTCCCAAAGATGAGTGTGGGAACATAGTCCTCAGGCTTAGGTGAGTCCTGGAGTGGACAGGCTCTGGTGGTCACAGGCAGGGCTCCATATGAATGAGTGTAGCTGGACTTCTAGCCCCGGTCCAAGGGTGGTATAACATGTTAGCAGCAGTGTGAGGTAAAGGATCAGACTGGATGTCAGGAAACTGAGGTACCTGTGGTAGATTTGCCTGAGACCCTCTCCATTTTATGGAGTGCTCAGTTCCCTAATTTCACTTGCCTCTCTGGTTTCATTTCTACATTTATAAGGTGAGTGAGGGGAATAAATAAAATGATCTCAGAAATATGTTCCCTCCTACCCCAATTCACAGAAGGGGGAATTGATCTAGGATTATCCTGAAATCTCTATTTATGGGTAAGTGTAATCCAGGGCACACCCAGTAACCACAAATTAGAATATTACATAATCCCATCCAGGGGCTCAGCAGTTGGAGCTTTGGGGCACAGAAGAGAAGAGGCGGGGTATTTTTCTCCTCCTAACCCCAAGTTTCCTAAAACAATGACTACAGTATATGCCCCTTGGCCTCCTGACAGCCAGCAACAGTCATGAATTCCAGAGGATATATTTCTTAGAATGATTTAGGTTTGCTCTGGGACAGCATTCTTCCCCAGGCTCCAAAAGGGCTGGTATCATGTGTGACCACAGTAGAATTTACTACAGGACAGTTGACTTTGGTGGGCCTGAGCATATCCCAAACCCACACCCTATATCCTTGAGTTTGCTGCCCTATTCACTCTGGTCTTGTTCTTCTCTGAAGTGAGAACCACATAAGCTCCCCCCCCCCACAAATCTAGAAACATTATTCTTGAATTGTGCTACCCAACATGGTTGTCACTAGCACCATGGACTCCTTGTATTTAAAGTAATCTTAAGTAAAATTTAAAATTCAGTTTCTTGATTTCACTAGCCACATTTCAAGCTATCAGTTGCAACGTGTGACCACCAGCCTGGGCAATAAGACTACCCTCCTCTCTATCGTCACCGGAGGTTCTACTGGACAGCACGGATCCAGCAGTTTGGAGGATAAGTGAGGGTTCCAAGTGATCACTCTCTAAATTCTGATGGAAAAAAAAGAGATAGATTGACATGCCCTTGAGCATTCTCTCTAATTTCCTGCCATCTTCAGGAAATATTTGTAGGCAGAGTTTCCAAATTGAATTTCTGTGCAACTGTGTTATATGTCATTCTCACCCATGACCTCCAACATCAGACTATTTGAGGGGTCTAGGATTGAGTGAAGACTTGGTGAACATTTACAGATTAGAAATCTTCTCCTTACAACGCAGCTTTCTTCTCCCTGCCACTCCCAGTTCTGGTTTTCCTGGAAGAGTTAAATGCAGGTAAAATTGTCTTCTTAGCCAATACCAATGACTAATGACAACTTTCAGGACCTGAGAGTTCATACTCAAATCTAAGAAAAGTAATAATTTTTAGATTAGATAGATAAAAGAATGAGAGATAAGTCCTAACATGAATAACATTTTGACTGGGTGTTCTCAAGGGTTTTTTTGGACAGATGGGCTTACACAGTGAATCCACAACAAATAGACCTCTTTATAATGCTGTCATCTTTGTCATTGAAGATCTAAAATTGAAGTCCAGTTACCATGAAAAGGACATTATAAGGAGACAGACTTTTTCTAGAATAGATTCCTGGGAGCTGATCTAGGGGATAATACAACACCCTGAATGAAGAGTGTGATTAAGGGCACAGTGGTTGGAGGAGTGTGCACTGGACAGGAATATCAATGAGCCAAGTTCAGTTCCTGACTATGCCACTGCCTGCTCTGAAACTCAGTTTCCAACTCTGCAAGGTAAAGAGATTGATCTTGAAGAGTTCTCCTTCAGTTTCATTTCAATCCATGAGTTATGGGTTTTGCTTCTCATACTCACCAAAGGCTTAGTTGACTTTTTCTCCATGATGATTGATAGAATTCCAGAAATGACAAACTGTTCAGAAAGGAGAGACAATGGTGAGGTCAGTTTCTATGTACAGGTGAAGCTACAATGTTATTATCATGGTGTTTATGGAAAACTCCTATGGAAACAGTCTTAGGAAACCATTGACCAACAATGTAAGGCCCAATTAATTACAGAGATGTGACTCTTTTTCCCACAAAGTATTCAGAAAAGCATGAACAAAGGCAGATACAAGTAAGAATATATCCCAGTAACCAAAATGAGGGCGTTATGAGCCAGGAAAGGGGGTGTTTTTTTAATGACAGAAGGAAGTTTTGGAGTTAGACATTATGTAGAGAAAAATATGAAAGCAATGGTACAGAAAAAGAAAAGAATGAGGACAGTTAACAGATATGGGAGGACAGAGACACACATGTTAAGTTGGTGGCTCCCCGGTTTAGGTGGAGTGGTGGCTGAGATCAGAGAGAAGACAAAGCTGGACACAGTGAATCATTAAGGCTGTGTTCTGAAAGTCAAAGATACTATTTTACAATATTCATGACCTAATTGATTTGGGGCAGTGAAGTAATAGAAAATCCTTTAATAATGGCAAAACAGGGAGAAAAGAAAAGTTGTAGATCCCACAGCCCCAGCATTAAGTACTTCAGATCTGCCTAAATAAAGCCTGGGTCTTCAAAATTGAACGAGGTGCCTCTACCAACACGGGCTGTGCTTCATGACTTGCTCTCGAAAAGTAGAGTATGGAAAGAGGAGGGAAGAGGTGACTCCACAGCAGAAGAACCTGCCAACTCCACCTCAGCCTCAGGGTTAAGGTTAATGTGTTCAGTGACAAATCATGTTGATAGCATCATGTCCTCAATAGGACATCTCACCTCTGTCCCTTCCACCTGGAAATCCATCACAATTAGTCTGAATATGAGAAAAAAGTATCAGGTGAACCTCAATTTAGGAACATGCTAAAATTCAAAAAATTCCTGGCCCTTGCTACTCAAGACCACCAACATCCCCAAGGAGAAGTCTGAGAAAGTATAGAGGAGCTGAAGGAAACACAATGATTAATGTAATGTAGTATCTTTGATGGGACCTTGGAACAGATAACAGGACAAACTTGTGAAATCCTCAAGGATTTCTTCCCCCTTCTCCCTCTGCCCCAACTTCCCTCCATCCTCCTAAGGATCTCTACTTACACACAAGGCTCCTATGAATGGGTAAGCAGCCTTCAACAGGGCGGAAAGCGTCGGGGCAAATTGTGGAGAAGAGGGAACAGATACCAAAATAATTCCCAAACTCAACACCATCACCCCACACAGGATCTGGATGGTCTGTTGGAAGAAGAAGGGAGATGGAGAATTAACATCAGCATTTGGAAAGGCAAGATGTCTTTCTCTCTCCCACGGTGCTCGTGCATTATCACTCTCTGCAGGACTCCAGCAAGGAAGGATACAGACTTTGAAAAGCTCCGGAGTAAGAACTCTGCAAATATACTTTGGAAGAGATGTTGCTGTGCCACAGACAACTACTGTCTCAGGACACCTGGCAAGTGTTCAGCAAGTCTTCAGGCATCTCTGGCTCTCTGCCCTTGTCTGCTCACATGGCGCCAGCTCCCAGCTCCCTGCAACACTGTTTCCCCTGGCTCTCTGAATCTGTTGCTAATAACTCTCTTTCTACCTCTTATGGGAACAGGGGATATCTGAAACCCCTCATGCTGTCTTAGCCCTGGTGGTGTGGACGTGCCTCCTTACATCCCCCAGACCCCACTGGACACAACAGAGAGCCTGGCCCTCTGGCCAGTTCTGAGTTCTGTGACCCCTCCAGTCCATGTCCCTGCAGCTGAGGATCTTGGCTTCCAAGTGACCAAGTTTTCCTCCTTTAAGTCCACCTCAGATACTTATGGCTCTGCTAACATTTACCAAGCCAAAGTTTTCCAAACATTATGTCCCACAAGCCTCATAGTAATCCACAGGATCGTATATTAGAGGCAAGGCAATCACTCCCACTAGGTTGTGCAAACTTAGATCATATAAATGCAGAGATGATTCCAGGAGGCAGAACTCTTTAGTTCCCTCCCCAGTCCTAGATATAGCCCTCCCTACCCTCCTTCCTTTGCTTCACAGAGCTTCTTCTTCTTCTTCTTTTAATATTTTATTTATTTATTTGACAGAGAGAGAGCAAGCACAAGCAAGGGGAGCAGTAGGCAGAGGGAGAGAAAGGAGCAGGCTCCTTGCCAACCAGAGAACCCAATGTAGGGCCAGGACCCTGGGATCATGACCTGAGCTGAAGGCAGACGCTTAACCGACTGAGCCACCCAGGCGTCCCCACAGAGCTTCTTTAATAAATCAAGCACAAGAGGAGAGAAGCCAGCAAAAGGCAAATATCCCTGTTCTCAAAAGGGAAGGAGAAAAAAGGGGAAGGAGGTTTATTTGTCCTATAATTTGTGGTGAGGGAAAAATTCCCTTAAAAAAATCATATTATTAAGCATGCAGTTGGTAAACACAGAAAAAAATGTACCTAAAATATGTAATTATTTATCATTACTTTATTATTATTATTATTAACACATATTATTTGCCCCATTACTTTTGTAAAAAAAATAGATATACAGCTTTTTGTATGCCAATTATTCCTCAATAAAGTGTTTTTTTTTTTTTAAGAAAATGTTGAGAAGCGTGCTATTGCAAAAATACAGAAACATCAACAAAAAGTGAGTTGATCAGATTCAGAATAGGAGAAACACAATTTTCATATCATCTTATGTCTGGGGAAGGTTCAGATGGCCCTCCAGGGGGCTTCCATTGGTCTGCCCATCAACCTGGAATTCCTCAGGCAAAGTTTAAGAGCCTCTGTGCTCACCGTGTAGTCCCAAGACTTTCCTGCACCCCCTCCCCATGCCAGTCCAGCAAATTCTTAATTGGACTTACCCCAAGAATTTTGACATCTGCCTTTAGATGTTTCTCTAGGCTGTCTTGCCTCTGGTTGGTGGGTTTGGGATCCTCCGTTTTGGGAAAGTTGATGCCATTTGGTGTCAGAACTATGATGGTCTGATTGGCCATGGGTTGTGATATGATGGTGCCACTAGCACTGGAAAAGAAAATAAATTCAACTTTTAAAAAGTATAGAGCTCTCAAGTCTCCTCAAACTGGGAGCCAGTATTTTCCCTTTAGTCCTGACTTGATCTATCCTTGGGAAGGAAACGGACAGCATAGAGAGCTATGAAAAGCACGAAAATTTGGTACCATGAATATTTTTTTTAAGATTTTATTTATTTATTTGAGAGAGAGAGAGGGACATCACAAGTAGGTAGAGCATCAGGCAGAGAGTGAGGGGGAAGCAGGCTCCCCACTGAGCAGAAAGCCCAATGTGGGGCTAGATCCCAGGACCCTGAGATCATGACCTGAGCCAAAGGCAGAGGCTTTAACCCACTGAGCCACTTAGGGACCCCACCATGAATATTTTTTTGTACAGTGTTTGGCCCAGTCTATTCATTAGAGATAAGAGACATATCACAGGGAAGCAGAAGAACCAATCGTGAGAGGTCTCAATGTCCAGAGGCAAATGGTCACAAAAAACTTACAATATGTAGAAATCTCTCTTTCTTCTGCTTTTACCTGCAACAACTGAATTGCCACATATTCCATGGATTTCACCCCCAAACTTCCCTACCAGTCATGAGACGCAGTAAGGGTTTCTTTGTCAACGTTTTCCTATTCGGGTTCTGCACATCTCACACTAACTGTTCATTTTCTCGTCCAATAAATAATACTTACTAGGACTGATCCTAGGTATTTTTTATTGTATTCTACTGAACATTATCCTGTAGTGCCTTTTTTTCTTTTTTCTTTTTTTTTTTTTAAGTAAGCTCTACACCCTATCTGGGACTTTGACTCATGACACTGAGATCAGAAGTCATGTGTTCTACTGACTGAGCGAGCCAGGCCACCCCATCCTATAGCGCCTTTCATCTTTCAACAACTCTGTATGTTAGTTCTTTAGTTAGTAAAACCATGTCATAATTAGGGAAACTTGGAATCCAAAAGTTTATTATGAATGGAAATAATACCTGCTTTTCCTATGTGCCTATAAGAGTTAATGCTGAAGAAATATTTGCAGTTATAATGGCTACTCAGGTAGGTTCACACGACTGGGGAGATGTAAGAACTGGGACAGGGCCCCAGGTCTCTCTGAATCTGAAGCCTTTGTACAATTCATGAGAGCACGCGACTTCTTCGTCATCCCACCTTGCAGTAGTAGCCTGTGCCCGAGTTGATTCAGGATGGAGAAGCAGCAGCAGTCAGAAATATGGAAACAGGACCTGCAGTCATGAAACCCAGGTTCAAGGTCAGACCCTCGGTTTGCTGGCCTCAAGGACCAGTACCTGTGATATTAGCTCTATTAGCCATCTTAGCGGCAAGCTCAGCTTGGTTCTCTGTTTGCAGCACCGTTCTCAGCCCAGGGACTGTCTGGTTTGCACAGGGCCCATAGAAGTAAGAACTATGCTCCCATTAATCACATGACCTCAGGGAAGGGGCCCAAGATCACACAGAAAACAGCAGAAAATGTTCAACACGTTACTCCTTCCCTCTGCTCATTCTGTTTCCAAAATACTCTCCTGCCTCTTAACTTCTTTCCAGGAGCTTCCAATCAAATCTTCCACAGGGAGACACAGCAGGGGAGTGGGAAGTTTAAACCAGTCTCTCAGCACTGCCTACCTGTGCCCGTGGACCAGCCTGCTGGTTCCAGCCGAGTGCTCACAAACTCCCGGGAGGTGGTGACTCTGGGCTGTCACACAGTCCTGTAGAATTTTCTACTTGTCTTCATCTTTTGAAAGTCACCAGCCCTTCCTTAGTCCAGAGTTTCCAGCCACACAGGATGTGATACTTACAGATCGTAGATTTGTGAAATGTGTCTGCACTTCCTTTTTTTCCAAACTCCTAGCATCTTCAGAAAAGTCACACATAGAACCACCTAATGGCTGTGAGGACATGGGATTCCTGGAGCTCTGTGTGGGTATTGTCAGCCCAATACTTACTAGCTCTGTCATTAGACAAGTCTGTGTTCTTCTCTGTGACTCCGTTTTTCAAATCTCTTAGATAGGGAAACAATATCAACATGGGAGATTTGTTATAAAGTTTAGAGAAAATGTTTATAGAAGGTCTTTCACTGTTTCCAAGGAGCGTTCGATAATATGTAACTAATAATAGTAACATTGACTGAAATAGTGATATTGATAAATCATAATATTCGATAATATATAGCTAACCATAGTCTGACTACACTGCTTTCAAGGAGCACTCAATAATATAGAGCTAATAATAGTAATAATAGAATATAGAAAGATATTTTTTTGTTACTTATGTATGTTTTCCTTCTTCCAGTTCCCTGGGCTCTGGACAGGCTGAACCAGTCTCTCAGCACCCACTACCTAGATACTGGCTGCTACAGAATTATCTTTCTTCTCTGGCTTCTCTCTCTAGCAATAGATCCCTGTCCCCCGAAAAAGTTGGACACCTCTAGGAAATGGTGAAACCAGATGGGGTTGCATAAACTTGGCAAACTCACACTTGGGGCAGTTTTGTGAAACAGAGAGGTCCTGTGCCCCCTCAAGCCCTCAGGTGGGTGTTCTTTGGAAGCCGACTTTGATACGCCAGACAAGGATACCGACACCAAAGCCAGTCAAGGAAGCTAAACAGCCCCATCCCATAAGCTTCCTCCTTCCCTTGGGGGAGTGCCAAAAGGAACCTGGGAACACACCAGAATGATCACTCTCACCTCAGGGGGACGTGGGTTCTGCACGTTAACTCCATACTTCAAAGAAAAGAATTAAGAAACACCATTAAGTTTGGCTTAGTTCCCAGGACCAGATGGCACAGATTACTAAATGCAATTCTCTTTTCTTAAATTCTAGAGATGAGTAGAGAGAGGGAACGGACCCGCCCAGAAGTGGTGGAAGAGCCACAGAAGAACCTTTACCCTCTCACTCCTGAGCTGCTGGTATGCCTTCTCCTTTCCCAAGGTGTCTGCTGGAGTTTTCCCATCATGCCCTGTGCCCTTATCACCATCCCAGCATCCGGTAAAAGAGTGGGGTACAGCTCTCCCCCAGGCTTTGACAAAGAAGGAGCCTAGCTCCGTAAGGGACAACTGCAACCTCTTTCCCTTCAGCGGAATGTGGTAATAACCAATTAAATCTACTGACCAAGCAAAGATTCCCTCACAGTCTGTCTTCCTCTCTTACTAGTATAACTTTAAATGATCTCAGAGGAGTTACAAGGATTGCACGAGATGACACTTCAAGGTGCTTGCTACGGAACTTTACAGACAAGTGGCCCAAAAGGAGTCTATCAACAGTCTTCCCTCAACACCCCCCCCCACTCAAACTCCCAATTCCAATCTCCCTCCCTGCTTCTCTCTCCCGCTCTGCATCCTCCTCCTTCTTTTTCTTTTTTGGGGGGGCTTCAGTAATATCCAAACAAGAGGCTTCTCCCTCTATTCTCTCAAATTAGACCCGTCCCACCTTGACTATCTGTTGTTTCCAGAGTCTGAACTCTGTCAACTCAACCTGGAGGGAAAGGAATGAGAGAGTAGTTAACACCGTGGTTAATAATTCAGGTTTCTCTAAAGAAGCACTAATGAATTTCTGATTTGGGTAATTTTTTGTTGCAGAGCAAGGGGTCCTGTCCTGTGCATTGTAGGGTGTTTAACAAGATCTCTGGCCCCTACTCACTAGATGCCAGGAACGCTGCCCACCCCAGATGCAAGGTCACCAAATATTGACAAATGTCCCCCGATGGAGAGGGGACAAAATCTCCTCATTGAGAACTACTGATCTAGAAGAATAAAGTTTTTCTGTGACTTCTGCATAAAGGCAAACATGCAAGAAACAAATCATTATTGTTCTTTAGCTCATTAATTCTTTAGTTTTTTTATAATTTTTTTTATTTTAAAGATTTTTATTTATTTATTTGACACAGAGAGAGAGATCACAAGGAGGCAGAGAAGCAGGCAGGGGCGGGGGCGGGGGAAGCAGCTCCCCGCTGAGCAGAGAGCTCTATGTGGGGCACGATCCCAGGACCCTGAAATCATGATTTGAGCTGAAGGCAGAGGCTTAATCCACTGAGCCAGCCAGGTGCCCCTTTAGTTTTCATTTTTAATTGTGGTAAAAAAAACACGTAAAATTTGTCACCTTAGTCATTTTTAAGTATACAGTTCTGTAGTGTTAAGTATGTTCGCATTGTTGTGCAACAGGTCTCTAGAACTTTTTCAGTTTTTTTTGTAAAACTGAAGCTTTATACCCATTGAATGACAATTCCCCATTTCCTCTCCCCTCAGCCCCTGGCAACCATCATTCTGGCTCTGTTACTATGAATGTGACTACTTTAGATACCTCACAACCATAGCACCATATCTTGTTTGTCCTTTTCCGACTGGCTTATGTCACATAGCGTGATGTTTTCAAGTTTCATCTGCATTGTAGCATGTGATAGGATCTCCTTGTTGACGGCTGAATAATATTCCACTGTATGCATACGCCACTTGTGGTTAATTCATTCACCTGCCATTGATATTGGGTTGTTTCTTTGCCTGTTGTGAATAATGTTGTCATAAGTGTGAGTGTGAAACTCTCCTTTTCCTTCGGGTCAGTTCCTAAAGATTTATTTTGGTTTGGTTGAGCCATGCTTTCCTGTTTCTCTCCATGTCTTGGGATCTTTTGGTGAGATTTGGGCATTTGAAAACAAAACAAAACCAAAACCACCTCCTCCAGTCTTTCATACTGGCTTCATAAAGGGGAAGACTGTTGCCAATCAGCATGGCTAGAGATTCTGGGGACCTTTCCAATATTTTCTGGAGATGCATCTGCTCTGGGCAAGTGTGTGTAAACCTCCCAGTTAAAGAGGTCTGCCTGCTTCTTCTCTGAAACCCACACATTCTTCCTCTGCATCCGTCTGAGGTACCACAGTCACTCTGGAGCTGTGACAAGCCACAGTGCTTGCTATGTTCTTAGCAACCCCCCAATCTCACACCCAAACTCTGCCAGTTTGCCTCAGCACTCCAAATCCATGAGACAGAAACCGATCCTTCTGGTAGCCCCTCAAAAATCCAGAATGCTGGACACATGCCTCTGGGCTTCTATTCTTCTTTCCCTCCTGAGGAAAAAACTGGAGTTGGGAGTTTCCTCCCCATTATATCACACTGTGCCAGGTGGGTAAAGAAAGTATCACATGTTTTCCCATCCATTTAGATGCATCTCTTCTTGGCTATGGGCTTGTCTAGTGTGCTATGACTTCTTAACTAGTTTCCAGAGGGCTTGCAAGGCATTTTGGTCCATATGTTGTTAATTTGGTGTCTCCATGGGAGAATGGGGGCTTGGGAGCTTCCCATTCCACCATCTTGCTGATGTCACTCAAGTTAATTTCTTGTTATAAGATATTATTCTGTCTGCTGAGAGGTGGAAAGTCTCCCTATTACCTGTGGCATAATCTGCAAAGCAGGTGTTTAATATAGCGATGGAGAGCTGGATTGGGGAGTAATTTTGGTTATTAAAATTTATTTTTTTATCATTCCATACCACTTATCAAAGCATTTTAAAAAATCATATCATACCATTTATCAAAACAGGTTATCCAAGGATCCACTTGTAATGTAAGAAGGCCCAAACTCTTTGGACCTAAAACAACCATTGGGTCTTCATTGTTTTAGCCAGGTCCCCCATCTGTGTCTCAGCTTTTGTCACTGACCCTCTGCCCCCTCTCTTCTCAGGACCACAGGAATCTTCTTAAAGTTGCCAAAGACATCTGTTATTCTCTTAATTATCATGACTACTCCTTCCATTCCGTATCCCCCTTTGTTCCTAAACAATAGGAACACTTCTCTTTCTGAAGCACTTATCGTAACTTCTTTAGTGCGAGCTGATTCTTTGTACTTTTGGAAAACAAAAGCTATAAACTAGTAGGCAGAATCTCCTTTTCCTTCCTCCATTTATATATGCCTGTACTTCCCCCCCACCATTTCCTCACCCCCCAATTAATAGGTTATCTTAAGGTAAAAGCTAAGAAAGTCCTAAAATGCTTGGACTGAGAAAGGAAAAACAAAAATTATCTTGCAAGAATTTTAGTCTTGCTCACAGTCTGTGGATAAAGTGCTGTTGGGCAACAGGAAGTCTGCAGCTGAAAACACAGCCTGACCACCTGCTCCGCCCTTCAAGATGTTTGGAGAAGGAAGGGCCAGAGCCCAGCACAGGCTAGTTCATGGCATAGACCGAGATGCTCCTATGTGAGGAGTTTCTTCCCATAATGGAGAAGAAGCCTGCAGGGGGCAGCAAGAAAGGGGAAAAATGTTTCCAACTGAGAATTAAGTAGACTGAAGTGTACAGGATCTTTTTGATTTGAACAAACAGCCCCCGACTTGATCTCTGTGGGCATTAGGGTGTTTCTAAAGGGAAAAAACCTTGTTTGTTATAGCTAAGGAACAGCCTCAGGTCAATTGCTTTCCATTTGTGTCCCATATATACAGGAATCTATTGCATTTCTGTATGCTAATAATGAAGTAACAGAAAGAGAAATTAAGAAAACAATCCCGTTGTTTAGAATTGCACCAAAAAAATAATAAAATACCTATACAGGTGAAAAACCTGTACTCTAAAAACTGTAAAACACTAGTGAAAGAATTGAGGATGATGCAAACTAATGGAAAGATATTCCATGCTCATGGGTTGAGAGAAAAAATATTGTTAAAATGTCCATACTACCCGAAGCAATAAACATATTTAATGCAGTCCCTATCAAAATACCAACAGCATGTTTCACAGAACTAGAACAAATAATTCTAAAATGTGTTTGGAACCACAAAAGACCCTGAATAGCCAAAGCAATCCTGAAGAAGAAGAACAAAGCCGGAAGTATCATAATTCCAGATTTCAAGATATATTTTAAAGTATTAATCAAAGCAGAATGGTATGGGCACAAAAACGGAAGCATATATCAACAGAACAGAAAACATAGCCCAGAAATAAATCCATGCTTATATGGTCAATTAATCTTCAACAGAATATGCAATGGGAAAAAACTTCTTCCACAAATGGTGTTGGGAAAACTGGACAGCGACATGCAGAAGAGTGAAACTGGACCATTCTCTTACACCACACACAAAACCAAATTCAAAATGACTAAAGGCCTAAATGTGAGACCTGAAGCCATGAAAATCCTAGAAGAGAACGTAGGCGGTGATTTCTCTGACATCAATTTTAACAGTATTTTTCTAGATAGGTCCCCAGAGGCAAGGGAAACAAAAGCAAAAATAAACTCTTGGAACGACATCAAAATAAAAAGTTTTTGCACAGCAAAAGAAATTGGCAACAAAACAAAAAGACAATCTACTGAATGGGAGAATATATTTGCCAATAAAAGGTTAGTATCCAACATATGTAAAGAACTTCTACAACTCAACACCAAAAAATCCCAAATAATCCAATTAAAAACTGAGCAGAAGACACAAACATACATTTCTCTAAAGAAGAGTTACAGATACCCAGCAGACTCATGAAAAGACGCTCAACATCACTAATCATCTGGGAAATGTAATTCAAAACCACAATGAGCTATCACCTCATACCTGTCAGAATGACTAGAGTAAACACACAAGAAACAAGTGTTGGCTGGGATGTGGAGAAAAGGGAACCCTCATGCACAGTTGGTGGGAATACACACTGGTGTAGTCACTATGGAAAACAGGATAGAGTTTCTTCAAAATATTAAAAATAGAAATACCATATGATCCAGTAATTCCACTACTGGGCACTCACCAAAGAAAACAAAAACAATAATTTGAAAAGATATATGCACCTGAATGTTTTTTGCAGCATTATTCACAATAGCCAAAATACAGAAGCAACCCAAGTGTCCATTGAGAGGTGAATGGATAAAGAAGGTATGGTGTGTGTGTGTGTGTGTGTGTGTGTGTGTGTGTGTGTGTGTAATGGAATATTACTTAGCCATAAAAAAGAATGAGATATTTGTGTCCTACATTTATTATTGGTATTTTGTTTTATGGCTTATATCTGAAAATGTTTTGAAAGAT